TGTTAGTATATACCATGCTATAGGCTAAAATTCCAGTAAAATGACTATAACTCTGGAGGAAAGGCCTATGGGCCCTTATCCTTTTGAATTTTTTCGCACCTTACTGGGGTCTACCTTGTGCACAGAGTTTGAACTCAAAACCGATTAATCACTTCGGGTACCTCCCTCGTAAGGATCGAAAATATTGTGATATAGATAAAAATTATTAGGTTCTACTGTATTTGATTCCAATATTTAAAACTTTATTTCCTTGAACTTTTTCAATAACAATTGTACCATCAATAGGGTCAATTGTTGAATTCTTCCTGTTTATTCTGAATCAATTAAATAAAAAAGCATTTTCTTTTAACTTATCGTAATTATTACGTTTTCATCATGATGTATTAAATTTATCGTTCATGAAAATGTTTAATGAAATATATCGCAATAGCTATCATTTTGAATGTTAGTCGTTATAAAGATGATTGTTCGTTTTTGATAGGTATCCGTCATTGTCTTTTATTTATTGAAATGAAAATTGTGTTTTTTTTTTCTATTAAAAACAACTCTGCTTGAATAAATAATCTATAATAGTTCCGTCTTTATCATATCCAAAAGCATCGATCGTCCATCTTACATTGTGAGTAGAAACAGTTTCATGATTATTATTCGCTCAATTTTTCACAAAAAAAAACGATATAAAAGAGAATAACAAAGAAAAAACGATGAGAATTAACAAATTATTCAAAATTAATTATGTACACCTAACCAATCCAAGGAGAAATTGGAATCATCATGCATCATTTGTATTGAATTTGCATAAAACTTCCTATGAAGTTGATGGACAGCATACACTTGTCATACTTCCATATACTAGAATTAGAAATGACGATTTTTACAAATATTGGAGAGAGATTTCTGTATTATTCGAATGATGTTCGTTAAGAACTTCACTACTAAACAGAACAGATTATGTTGGATAGGACATTCTTTTTACAAGAAAAAGGTGTTTAACAGAGATGCTGAACTTTTTAAAGTTCTATTCTTTTATTATTAAACCGACAAAGGTTTTAGATAATTTAAAGAAACTTTCGAGAGAAAAGTACTTCGAAGTGCTTAGAAGAGTTGTATTTCGCACCTTTTTATTGAAGTGAGATTCTCTCAAAGATAATTCTTACATAAGTGTGCTTGAGTTAAGTAAGGTGAACTATTTTTTTAACATGACCTAATGTTTGATGAGAAGACTAATGGCAATACCGGCATCGGCATTACTTAAATCAGTGTGTTCTCTAGAGTCAACCGAAAAGATCAATGCTGTTGATGTCAGTCTCGTTCATTTCATCTATCGCACTGAAAATGTCATTGTATTTAGAATGGAGCCATAGAAAGAACAACTTTTTCCAGATAGTTAAGGAAATAGAATATATTCAAAGTTTGATGAATTCAAACGTGTACTTTTAGTTCAAAAAAAAAACCTATTCTATTTCCCATTTAAGCAAATCTCAGCTCTTTTTTAGGATTGTTTTAATATCGACAGGTAACGATGCGTTAATAAAAGAAATATTATCTGGATTCTTGGGTTTATTCGGGAGTTAAATTTGAGAAAGGTAAGATGAGCTAATAAGAAATTTGTCGTGATTTTGTAGAAGTGAACTTCTGCAGATTTTCTTTTGAAAAAATGAGAGAATCTTTAACTATGCAAACCTCGCGACAAGTCTGAGTACATGTAATTGTAAATGAGGTCATATGGATCCGTTTAGAACTATTGTAGTACTCAGTCTCATTCTCAAGGGCTTCAATTGGAATGCATCACCCAGGGAAGTTTTCAAAAAAGTCTTGATCAAACCAACAGAATTAGACGCAGTGTGTTGCGTAGACTGCTTTTTATCGTAATTGAACTATTTTTGAAAGAAGGAGAAAAGCTTCGTACCTAAACCATATTATTCTAGAACCTTACAAGGTTCTGTATGACCCTATTTTTTCTACAGAGTTTGGATAGCATAGAGTATTTTTCAGCTGGTTCATAAGTTCAACAAGAATTGAATTTTAAAGACAAGGCTCATTGCATATTTCTTCTACCAAATCAATTATGCCTTAGTTTTCACAAGAATTTTATCTGTTAAGTATTTAGTAAAATATAACATATCTCCTTTTCTTTCGATTATATAACTCAAGCACAGCAAATAAATAACCTACTTATTTACTATTATCGTTTTTTCTTCAAATGTCAATCATCATTTTCTAAATAGCTTTCGGTCGTTTTTAAGTATCGAAGTCAGGCTTTCACCATTAGATAGAATAATGTTGAAGATGTCTCTGTCTGTGTAACATGTATTAAGTTTGAAGAACTGTTTCAGAGATATTTGTAGATGAACATTTATTTCGTTGTCAATTTCTTCAACTTTTCGTAGCAACCTAAACTTCAATTATACCAAAATATAGCCGGAAGAGTGTTGCATTTTTTGTATAATTGTTCGAGTTTTTTTTATTTTCACCTTGGACTCATGCTTCAAGAGAAATGTTCTGAAATCTGGAAATTTTATGGTTAATATGATTCTCTTTGGACTGTATTTGGGTGTTTTTTGAGCATAGGTTGTTATGAAAAGTTGTAGAAAGGGACAACGAAAATAATATTCATCTGCAAATATCTCTAGAATATTTCTTCGAACTTAATGAATATTATACAGATAGACGTATTGAACATAGGTCTAACTAATGGCGAAAATCCGACTTCGATTTCTATAAACGATCAAAAGTTACTCAAAAAATGATGGTTGACACTTTATAAAAAAAACCGACAAGAGTGAATATACTAATGAAGTATTTTAGTATTAACTATTCATTTATAAAACAAGGGCAAAATACCATCTTAGATATAAACGTTATGTTAACATAGAGCATGCGATAAGAATGTAAAGAAAAACAATTTTTGATATCTCGTTCCCCTTGTATTTCACAAGACTTTACTTTTATGTGAAAAAATTATCAAAGTCTTTCATTCTATTATTTCTTTAATACTACTTAATGATCTGTACTGTTATTTTTACTCTTAAAGAAGTCTTAAATAAAACTACAGCGATAAGCAACAGTTATCATACTTGAATGTCAAACTGTGGTTGTCGTCTAAGCCAATATTCCGATAGATTAAATGTTTCTTGAAAATCCGGCTCATTGTTTATTGTCTCATATCTGAACAATCGAATTTTCAGGTATACAAGACAAGGTAAACACTGTTCGACTAATGTTTGCCATTCTGTTGCATTGACCATTATCACGTTATTTCCCGTAATCCAAAATCGAAGTATGAAGTGAGTCAGACAAGGGCATACAGAAAGAAGTTGGCGGAGTTCTTTGAATGAACTACAACATTCAATATACAAGTTGAGTTGAGTGAGTGTGAAAAGACTAAAATCGGATGCATAATTGTCAATGTTCCAGGCAGTAACACGACCGGTGAAAGAGTAAAGATTAGGTGTATGTCGTACAAATGCCAACATTTCCTTAGCAGATATATAATTGAGAATGACATATTGTAAGATTGGCAAATCGAACAAGAGTTGTTCGACGTCCCATCTAATGATTCGAAGAGATGTACGCAAATAACGAAGTCCATTTCGACCAGCAATTGCAATTGTCGACCAAATTTGTTGATCAATATCTTTCGGATCATTTGCTCTGTGAAGTTTTTCGATTATGATCGATTCAAGTTGTTTCATGGGTAATTGCTGGACAAGTGATTGAAGTATAGTAAAATTACCATATTTAAATTCAAACGCTCGAATGGCTTCAAAATTTAAATTCAACTGATTCATATGATTTTCTTGTGAATCATCATCCGATGCTATCAATGCACGGCATAAAAATGGACCATGAATAAGTGCATTCCGATCAGTCGCCTTCGATAGATCAATACATGCTGGATAGGCTCGAATGACATCATTGATGCATTGTTGGAGATTAAAAAACGCACGGAATAAGTCAGTGAATGACAAATAGTCGAAAATTTCAAGTAATAGCTCAGTATTCAAACAATCAAAAGTCGTCATTGTTGTCGAGCAACGAAAAAATGATGAAAATAAATAAGAGAAATAAATATTTGCACAGAGTGTGGCAAAAGAAATGGTGAAGAAAAGAGAACGTGCCACTTGGCATGTTTGTCAAAAATACACCTTTGAAGAAACACAATTCGAATTACAACGGCACGGTTTAGTGCCGGATTTTTCCACATACTTGCATACAGAGTGCAGAAAATTTATACGATAACTTTGTCGTACTGAGTGACGTTACAAAGAAACAGATTCCTGAGCATCAAAGAGCACGCTTTGAAAAATGCATTAAAGCATGTTAAAGTTTTGTTAAAGCGTCGTTTTCACCAGTTTTATCGCGTGCAAAGGCTATAACGCATGCTAACGCGGAAATATCAGCTAAGAAAACACATTTTACGCGTTTTTTTTCCTGAACGGGTATTATTATGTTTAACAAGCATTCATTATTTCTCATTTTTTTAAGCAATGCAACGCGTGCAAACGAATTCCTCTCTTGAGATTAGTTTAAACGCAGAATGCATAGTTGATGCATTTGACGATCGACTTTTGCCAGCACCAGTAATTTTTTTTTGGTTTCTCGGTCAGCATTAATAAATGACGAAGATTGTAGAAGATTATATGATTAAAAAGTGATAAAAAATAAATCTAGAATATTATATACCAGTGTTTCATATTGTCAAAAACAGAAAACAAGCTTAACAATAATAAGAACAAAAAAGTAACTATATATCATAAACAAGAAAACATGTTTTGACTCAACAGGAACGATTGAAGCGTAACTACCTGTGTGTTTTCTTCATTACATAGCTTTTGTAATTTAAAAAAAGTTGAATATGTATAGTTCGCATTAAATGATAGTTTCGACCAATCATATGTATAGTAACTTTTCTTTGTCGACGAGTCAAGGAAGAGTTGTACAACATGTTCAAAATATCATTTTCCACTTAGATAAGCGAAGAAAAATATAAATTCATTATGAAAAAATTGGAATAAAAAATTTCACTTTTGTGAGTTTTTTGCCTGACCTCTGCTGACAATGTACTTTCGGTTTTCATGAGTATTGATCTCTTTAGAATTATATAGTGGATTGAATATTCTGGTTTTGAATTGTTTTGATTATTATCGCATCGTCATTTTGAGAAAATATTGCAAGTCTTTAAAAAAGGATTTAAATGATCTAATCGTTCGTAATATGCTGAAATGTGTTTTTCGTTTTTCTTCCTAACTTCTATCAGTTTTATTCTGTCATCTCTGTATTATTTCAGTTAACTATCTTCATTTCCGTGATTCGCTCAATTAGTCACATGTTCTTTGTCCGTAGCTTTTTCATATCTATCTAATGCATGATGAAGTTTTTTTTTTTGAACTTATTGCATTTTTTCTTCGTATAGTCGATTAAAGAGTTGATATAATTGATAGATGAGCATTCTTCTGCAAGCGACTGAATTAAGTTCTAAAGTACAGAATCGAAGCGGATTTCCTTGGTTAGAGTTCGGTTCGAATTGTGTAGCCCTAGTTCCCCTCAATCGGGAGTAGATGCAATGTTAGAGCTTCGTCTTCAAAAGATTAGGGCGTCACATTAGAATTGATATTGACGTAGATTAATACTTCTTCATGCACTTGTGGATTCAAACAAAATTTATGATATTGATGCGTAATTATCATCAGCTTCTTTTACTGTTAGTGCATAAGCTCACACAGTTACCAATGATTATGCATCGCAGTGCAGAAAAATAGAGAAATTTAAAAGAGCAAAAGAATAAAAGAATTGTTTCGTATAATAGTGATTCACCGTCATATATACAATTATTGTGACTGTTATGAAGAGAACAAAGTTGTCTTATATGGAAAGTTAATTAAGGATATCATAAACAATTAATCAAAAGTCGTTTTATTTTCACTGACCACATTACATTTTTACAAAATCACTTTATAGTTCAATCAATTATTTTTCATTTAAGGTTTAACTACGCTCGACCATCTTTTTGAAACTTATTTTTGGTTCAATCTCTAATAGATCAGCCTTTTAATTTTAATGTTCTTATGGAAACTCTTGACTCTAATTACGCAACCCAGTTATATTTGAAACTATCGATTATCATCACCAATTTCAGTTGTGTCTTTCTTTTCGCTGTGTAGAGCCATATAGAATTGTCTTTTTCTAGTTTTTCTGTTCACGTTAAAAGAGATAATGAAGAAGCGAACTGCATCAATTAGATGTGATTCATAAGTTTTGATTATATAGACGGTCTTTTATAAATTCCTAATTCATTTCAATTGTTTTTATTTTCCCAGTATTCAAAGTTGAATAAAAATTGATGATAAATGTATCTTGAAAGAATAATACCTATTTTATTATCTAAATTTTATTGAACTCAAATGCCATTATTAATAAGAAAATGTTTTATTGAACACCATCTTAGAATAATTCCATCAGTTCGGCTCTTTAACTCGTTTACATTATGTTTTTTGTCTGAAATCAATAAAAACTGACGTTCGAACTTAGTTTAGAATTTGACTTAATAAAATAAACCTGCTAATATGATTTTAATATTTAATAAATTATCTCCAATAATGCACCTTTTTACTGATGATAGCAATTCAGGAAGTAAAATTTGGATGATTGCTTAGATGTAATCTTCAACATGCATCTTCAATGTTTGTTCAGCTTGGAATATTTGAGAAATACAAAAAAGAGTCAAAATAAACTCAAAACTTATCAGATGTTTTTTTTATCTATGTTACTTTCATACAACGTCCAGTGGCTAGATGAAATACTTGTAGTTACAATAGTTTTTATCGTACAGTTTCACATGCTACTGAGCATTTGATTTCTAAACGAAGTAAATTACTAGAGAAAATAATTCTATTCATGGACTTAGTTTGCTAGATAAATAGTATAGATGATTTCTTAGTTGCTACACTCTTGTTATTATTTTATAACGATCACTTATTAGCTTAATTTTGTTGTTTAACAATCTCTATAATTTACTCAATTCAATAAATGAACCTGTACACTCGCGTGCATAACGCGTTAAAGCTTCCAATCGAATATATATTCGTTCAAAAAATTTAACGCGTTAAAAATGTGTAAAAATATGCACTTTTCACGATCTTATTTTCGTTAAAATTTTGTCGCGTTCTTCTTGGTTGTTTGTTTGACTGGATTCTAGGCAAAATAGTCTATGGATGTTATGTAAATGTGGGTGTTTACGATGCACGTGTGAATATTGGTTGACCGTGGCTGGGTATAAATGTGAGTATCAGTTTTCTGTTCAAACTCATTCTCAAGCTCACACTCACGTTTGAGACTTTCAAACCCACACCTCTGTTTAGTGTTATGGTACAAATGGGCTTGAATATCGGGTGGGTGTGTATGAGGAATATCCACTTGCACCCGTTCTGATCGTATATGAAGAAATTATTCGCGTACTTGAACATGTTACAAAGATTTGTGTATTACATCTTCAAATGTTCAATTCACTCTTCAAAGTCCACTATATTCTTTCAAAGCAATGTGAGCAGCAAGACACAGATGCGTGAGATAGCAAGGATTCGAAGACTCTATAAGATTCTGTGCAACTTCTCAAGTCCTGAAGTCCCGTGGAATCCGAAATTCTCCGTTTACCCTTAGTATATCCCTCAATTGGTATATCCTAATTAGGGATGCACCAGTTCCAAGTTCATACTGGTTATCCAGTTACTGGAATTGGTGCATTTGTAATCCCAATTGTTTTATTTTCAATCCTACGACTGACAGTTTTACTTTTCAAGAATTCCTTTCATAGTCATATCTTTCATCTGAATGCTCGTAATCTCTATTTGACCATCAGATACGTTTTCTCGCTCAGTTCTTTTTTCATAACCTAAACAATTATATTCTTTTTTCTAGATCACTTCAAATCTCCATTGCGATTCAGATCATAGTAGTTCGAGAATTGAAGCATGAGAGAACGATTGAAAAATTCATCAATCCGAGAAAATATGTGTTCGTACACATTCATAATGTTATATCGGGTGTCCCAGGAATAATGAGCCTCCCAGTATTTTTAAGATTTCCTGTCTATTATCACTGTAAGTAAAGCTGTCTTAATTATCAAAAGAAAGCGCTTAAAATTCTCTACAAAAC